GCGTCGCCCCGTGCAGCCCCGCGCCGTCCTCGCCGCCGCCGGCGCCGGCGCCGCCGCCCTCTTCCCGCAGCCGCCGCCCCAGCGTGTCCCCGAGCCCGGTGGGCGAGCGGCTCTCCGCATCAAACAGCGCGCACACCACCTCAGGCCGCGCGAGGTCAAACGGCGCCTCGCCGTCGTGCGTGCGCGCGCTGACGTTGGCGCGGCGCTTGATCAGCAGCCGGACGGTGCTGGTGTGGCCGGTGGAGCAGGCGTGGTGGAGGGCGGTCCATCCGAGCATGTCGGTAGATTCAGGGTCGGCGCCTGCGTGGGTGGAGGGGCAGCGGGTGTGGTTATGACGGCAGCCCTCGAACGCCGGTCAGACGCCATCAAGCGGCCGCCGCCGAGCAGCGGGGCTGCGCCCAGTGACTGGGTACACATGCAGCGCCGGCGTGCGCGGCGCCCAGACTGCCGCAACGGACCCGCCGCCGCCTTGCCCAGATAGATGCTAGAACGTCCACCGTCCAGGGCGCGCGCGGGAGCAAGGCCCTGGCGCCCTGACACAGCATGCCCCTCGAGACACAAAGACGCCGTTCGTCCCTTAAGTTGGAAATGACAGGACGCCCGCCCCCGTCTTGCCCTGCCCCGCCCCGCCCACCGCTCTCCAGCAGCAGCTCCACCAGCCCATCGAACCCGCACGCCGCCGCTTGCAGCAGCGGCGGCCCCGCCGTCGCGTGCGCGACGCGCGGGCTCGCGCCGCAGGCCAGCAGGCGCCGCGCCATGGGCAGGCTGTTGAGCTGGGTCGCCTCTGCCAGGGCGGTGCGGCCCGTGAGCGGGTGGCGGTCGTTGATGCCCGCGACGGCGCCGCTGGGGCCCGCAAGGTACTCAAGCTTTGACCCCAGGGTTGCCTCATCCTGCAAAGGGCGTGATGCGCGATACGCGTGGCTGATGGACAACGCTCTGACATGCGTCGTGTCATGGAGGGCGCGGGCATGCATCTGATGATGAGCCGCCGGCGCATGGGAGGAAGCGGGGGGATGGGGCCTGCAGCATGGGCCGCTGCTCGCGGGCGGAGGGGGGGGGGGGGGGCAAGGATGGAGGGTTCGCGGGCCGGCAGGGGGGAAAGGCG